GATTTGAACTCAGGTCCTTCTGACTTCAGGGCTGATGCTCTATCCACTGCACCATCTAGCTGCCCCGACAAACATCTTTAATAGAGCCTTAAATATCTGCCTTACCCTGGCCTGATGGTGATCTATAGCCAACACGCATTGTGTTTCAGAACACCATTACTTCTTTTTTTAAAATTTTTGTTTTTACTTTTCAGTAAGGCAATTGGGGTTAAGTGACTTGCCCAGGGTCACACAGCTAGTAAGTGTCAAGTGTCTGAGGCCAGATCTGAACTCAGATCCTCCTGACTCCAGCACCGGTGCTCTATTCACTGCACAAGTTAGCTTCCCCCAACACCATTCCTTCTGCGTAAATGGCAGAGGAAGGGCAATAGACTTCCTGGAATGCCCAAGATCCAAGCTGGGGATAATTCTGTAGGACGATCAGACCTTGGCCTTGTGGCTTATGAGGTGACTTTTCTAGGAGGGAAATTGGAAGGAAGGGGTGAAGAGGAAGGAAACATAGAGGTCCAGACCCCTAGAAACTTTGCCTAATATCATGACAACCTAGGAATTTGCTCAGAGTGCTCCTTGGAGAGCATATCAGCCTACTCTTGTCAGAGCCTCTCTTTGCACTTTTCCAACCTAAAAATGTTATATAAATGCTAGCTATTCTTGTAGGTAGGATTCCACTTTACAAAGAAAAGATCATCTCAGGTTATATATCCTGCTTAGAGCAGGTAAGAGAGGGAGGAGATTTCAAGAATTCAAAAGGATGGATCAACCAATTATTTCTCCCTCCCTCTGCTGATCTTCTAGAACACCTGTTACCTATATCAGTCACAGAATTGCAGAATCACAGATCAAAAAACCTAGAAAAGGGCCTCAGATACCACCCAGTCAAAGCCTCTCATTTTCCCTTCATCTGACATTTAATCATATGCTCTCCTATATATCTAATCATCCCAGCAGGACTAAATTATTTCAAGGTAGGGAGCATGTTTTCTATATCTCTGTCTCCCCCATAGAAATCTAGCATAGTGCTTTGCACGTAGTAGGCATTTAATAAGTATTTATTGAATGAATGAGTCAATCAGTTCTTAAATGGGGCTCCAGTTATGATCTTTGAAATATGGCGTGGGGAATTTGAAGGTTATCCAGAGAAGAGCAACCAAATTGACTGAGAGATTGAGGGTAAAGACGATGGTGTTAACAACAATGAAATAAGACCATTTAGCTCAGCTGGTTAAAGGATGGTGTTAACATGACAATGTTATAAGAGTTTGATCCTCACAGTTAAATCTGCACAAAGAAAAACTCTTTCCCCTCTGCCACAGTCTCTATCTCTAGTCCTGGTCAGCTATCTCACAAATTCATGCCATTAAGACAGTACAGATGGTTCAAAACAAATCTCTTACAAAAACAACTCAAGGCGTGTCATCAGACCTAGCCCTAGACAAAACTGTGAAGCAATGTTGAAGACACTAACTGAGTTTCTCCACCAAGTTGGATAAGAAGATTGTTCTGTTATCTTGCTAACTTTTCAGCAATGGATGCTTGGTGGGCTGAACCCCATTGAATAAACAGATAATTTTGTTTAAAAGAAAAGCATCTCATGAGGAGTAACAAGTCCTAAGACTTTGGGTTAAATTTCTAGCTCAATAAAAAAAAATACAAATCTACCAAAATGACTTCTATAGCTGGAGAATGTAATTTTTTTGTGTGAGAGATTAAGTGACTTAAGTCACACAGCTATGAGTGCTATATGTCTGAGGCTGGCTTTGAACTCAGGTCCTCCTGACTCCAAGGCTGGTACTCTAGCCATTACACCACCTAGCTGCCCCAGGAGAATATAGTTCTTAACAGAAACCCTAAAGACAAAGATATCATTAGAGTTATATGACCAGAAAAAAGGTGGGTCAGTAATGTAGAGAAAGTAAGAGATAATCAGTAGACAGCTCATATTCATTGGTATCCATGGAAAGACCTAAAGAAAGCAGCCCCTCCCCCCTAGTAGACCATCAATAAAGTATTTTATAGGAGGATCACAGAACCAGAATTTAGAGCTGGAATGGACTTCAGAGGTTATCTATTCCAACCCCCTCATTTTGCAGTTGGGAAAACTGAGGCCCAGAATGATATACCCAATTTCATACAAGTAGTAATAGCAGAACTTGGATTTGAACCCAGGTTCCCAGGCTCCAAATTCAATGCTTTCCCCACTGTAGCACAGCATCATAATAATAACAACAATAACGGCTAACATTTACATAGAACTCGAAGGTTCACAAAGTACTTTATCATCTTATTGGATTTCTACAATAACCTTCTGAGGAATGTGTTGTCATTATCCCCATTTTACAGATGAGGAAATTGAGGCTAAGAGGTTAGGCAACTTGCCCAGATTACACAGTTTATGTCTGTGATAGGATTTGAACTCAAATCTCCTTGATTCCAAATCCAGCACTCAATTCACTATACCACACGGCTTCCTGGAGTTACACAAGATGGGTGTGGATGAGTTGCCCTCTACATTAAGGAAGGGAGTATCCACGTCAATGAAACTGATTCATGAATTTGATTCATCAAAATAACCCTGAGCTATAGAAGACACACAAGCATTCTGGCAAAGAGGAAGTGGCTTTGTCTCAATCTTCTTTCTTCTTGCCCTGAATGAAGCTAGAGGAAATTTCACCACTGTGTTGAGTACACTTCAAATTCTTATCACCCAGCCTCTCCTGGGCCCTCACTGAAGCACATCGGTTTTTTTTTAATTCCTCTCTAATTGATTCTCTGTCTCACTCTCTACAGAAGCTATTCTAAACTTTTTCTTCCTTGCTAAAGCCCCCTATGTTTCTTCCTTCTTCCCCTCAGCTGAAGACCTTGATTCTTTTTTCTAATTGAAAAAATTGAGGGCATTAAAATTGAGCTCCCTTTTCTCCTATTCTCTTTATCTCCAAACCCCATTGACATCATCTCCCACACCCTCCTCCTTTCCCCCAGTTTCTGACAGTGAGGTGTTCCTCCTTGCCGAGGCCAACCCATCTACACGGGCACTTGGACTAATCCCTCACATCTTCCCCAGCAGGTTGTAACTTCACTCATTCTCCTTCTCTCTGGAATCATCAGCCTCTCCCTATGAACTGGTTTCTTCTTTACTGCCTTCAGATATGCCCAAGTTTTCTCCATTCTTTAAAAAACAAAAAAATCCAAAATATTCATTAGACCCTACCATCCCTTCAAGCTATCATCCTATAGCTCTCTTCCCTTTTCCAGCCAAATTCCTTGAAAAAGTTGTCCATACTCCTTGTCCCACATATTCAATCTGTTGTCAAATTTTGTCATTTCTATATATACAATATAATGTGCATCTATTGTATATATGTCATACAGCCACCATCCTTGATCAGGCCCTCTAGACTACTGCGATAGCCTTCTGATTGGTCTCCTTGACTTACGTCTTTTCCCATTCCAATTTATCCTCCACCTCCTGCCAAAGCGATTTTCCTAAATCATCAGTCCATGTCACACCCCTTATTCAATAAACTAATGGCTTCCTGTTACCTCTAGGATTAAATATAGAGTCCGCTGACACTTGGTTATTTAGCTAAACTGGCTTGCTTGCTGTCCCTCTCTGTGACACTCCGTCTCCCTCTCTGTGCCTGTTCACAGGCTGTCCCCAGTGCCTGGAACACTCTCCCTTCTCATTGCTGCTGCTTACAGCCCCTGGTTTCCTCCAACACTCAGCTCCAATCTCAGTTTTTCCCGGAGGCACTTGCTGATCCATCCTTACAACCCCATTGCCCCCTAGTGCCTTCCCTTCTGAGATTACCTTCGATCAATACTCTGCATGTGTAGTTTTTTATTTCCATGCTCCCTCCTCCATTAGTATGTAAGCTTCTTGAGGGCAGGGACTTTGCCCCCCCCCCCCAGCACTTAGTCCAGCGCCTGTCACATAGTAGGCACTTAATAAATGCTTATTGACTGACTGACTGACTGACTAATGGAATTAGATTACCTTCTGGCCAGCTTTGCTAAAAGACCCTCAAGGCTTTCTACCAGAGAGGGAGAGAGACAGGCAGACAGTCTGAGGCACAGAGACAGAGACAAAGAGAGAAAAGCTGCTTCTGGGTTTTCCTCTGCCTGCAAGTAAAGGACTTCTGCCAGCTGCTTGCCACTCCACCCATCAGGAAGTGGGCCAAAAGAAAGAGCCAAGAAAGGGAAAAAGAGGCTCCTTAGAAGACCTCTATGTTGTTAAGGCCCACCCACTTCCGGTTGAGTCAGGTCATGCTTGTCAAGTTTCTTAATGGTCAGAGGATTCCCTGAGTATTGAAAGCAGTTTCATACCTTCTGAATTCCAAGATCTAGACCAGATCTGAGGGACAGTGAAGGTGTCCCCCCCCAACAGCCTAGTTTTGAACTGAGGAGAGCCTGCCCAGTGAACAACAGAAAATTGCCTCCTCCGTCCAGTCCCACTTTCTGTCTGGAGCAGAGTTGAGAGGCAAGTCGTTAGGATCCCCCCACACCCATTCCAAATTGCTAGAAGGTAACAAACTCCATGACAGTTGATAGGGATGTGTGACCAGTGCCCAGGACAAGATGTCCGTAGCAACATACTCACAGCAAGCTCCCATATCTGCTCTCCAGGTCAGATTTATTCCAGGGTGCAAGGTGATGTAGTTCAGGGGGAGGGAAGGAAAGGAAAAGAAAGGTAACTGAACTGACAGAGCATCACTGAGAATCATTCTTACCCCTTCTCATTGAGAGTCCGGTCTTTGACCACCACCATTTTTCTAGCTCTTGGGGAACATGGGCTCACTCAGGGGAAAAAAGCCATGTGAGAGAGCAGAGCTGTAAATAAGCAGTTTATGAGCCTAGCAGACTGGATGCCCACCCCCTCCTTCAATTTGCTCTTGAGATTGAAATAGGAAAAAATTCTGAGATTCTGCCTCTCCATTCAATGTAATGAATAGAGAGGGACTTCCTAGTCATGATCTGGCTTTCTCTTGTCTTCTTTTTTTCAGTGATCTCTCCATGTGGGTAAACCTGGAGTACCTCCTCTCAACGTCTTCATTTCCCATTCTCAGGGTCTTGCCCCAGGGATCTCTTCACTCTGCAAGATCATTTCAGCCCTGGAACTCCTACCTCATCAGGACCCTGTGCCCTGGAGGATCCTTCCCTCCCCCCATTGGAAGGAGGAGAGCTCTACTCCCAGAACCACCATTTAAGGTTCAAGCCAAATTAACTTTCTCTTCATTTCCCGTTTCTGGAGCCCAACTCAACAATTTCTTTGTTTTCCATTTCTGGTCCTCTGTACCTTCTCCACCCTTTCTACCCCCCCCCCACTTTTCTGTTTTCTGTTTCCTTTTGTAAAGTGCTTCCCCTATTAGCCTATATAAGTGCCTTTAAGGACACGGATTGTCTTTTGCTTTTCTTTTTATCCCTAGCACTTAGCCCAATGATTGGCACATAGTAGGCACTTAATAAATTATTATTGACTGACTGACCTTCCTCCTACCCCAAACTTCTCATCTTAGTCTCAGTTCATTGTCATGTCATTACTACTAAGGGCTTTAAATTCTGAACGTTTTGAAGTCCCAAAAGAATGACTCTCTAATGGCAGAATTTGCGCTGTAGTAAGTGATAGCTGGGAGATATTTTAGGAGATTAGGTCTTCTGGATACTCTTCAAATTATACCATACACATGGCTGCCTGCTCTACTTGATTGCAAGGCTGGCCCTATGCATGTCCTTCTAAGGATAGTTCAGCAGCTTTGAAAATGAAGGTAACATACTACTTACACTGGTGAAGAGAAGGCAAAGGAGGAGGTAAAATAATAGTCTCTACATACATAGTAAAGAATAGGAGGGCTTAGAGTCAAAAGAGTTCAATTCTTGGCTTATTAACTGTGATTGCGAGAAAAATCCATTATCCACACAGAGCCTCCATTTTCTCATCTATAAGAAGGGCATAAAAACACTTGTGCCATCTTAACCTGCTCCTGAGAGATAGTGGGCTATATAGTACAGAAGTTTCTAACCCCTTTTAGCATCAGGACTATTTTTAATGCCAAAAAACTTTACAAACACCCACATGATAGTGGTATTATAAGTAGTACCAATTGAGAAAATACTTTAGGAACCCTTTAAAATTATTTTTATTCATCACAATAGTACCCACATACACTTGTGTGTGGCATATTGTTAATCAGTCTACAGAAGATACATTTGCTTATTTATCATAGTGACCCCTTGGACTTTTGCAATGACTCTGTGGCCTCCCAGGGTCTGTAACCACTACCCCAGTAGTTCCCAACCTGAATCAGGAGTCAAATACTCGGGTTCTCATTCTGGTTCTCCTACTAACTGATTGTGTGACCTTGGGCAAGTCAAGTTCCATTTCTGGGCCTCAGTTTCTTCATCTATGAAATCAGGGGTCTGAATCAAATGGTATATAAGGCCCCTTCCAACTCAAAGATTCTATTCTTCTGTGCCCCAGGATTGCTGTGGAAATGCTAGAAGTCAGGACAAAAAGTGAAACTAACTTATATTGGGCAGGAACAAACTTCCTGACTAGGGAGACCCTTTAAGACATATGATGGATGTTGCATGAGAGACTAAAGAATAAAGAAGATGGTCATCAAGTTGCTGTCCACTCACAGAGTACCTTCTACATGCAAGGTCCAGTAGAAAATACTAGATTTGAAATAAGGATAAGCTAGGTTTAAATCCCAGATCTGGCACATACAAAAACATCCCTTCACATCTCTAAGCTGCTGTTTCCTCATTTGTGAAGTGGGGAAATAGTACCTGTACTATTAACCTCAAAGTGTTGTGCTGATCAAGCAAGATCATATAAATAAAGCACTTCATAAACATTAAAAAGTCAGAAAAATATTATTATTATTATTATTATTATTATTATTTATTCTGCTAATTGTCATGGAGATTTAAAGAAGAAACCATTCCTGGACACTGGAAACTTACCTCTGCAGGTGGGGATGATAAGACATGTACACAAACGCCTATAAAACAATAACATAGAATGCGGAAAGTGCACTGAGAAACACAAAGCTCTATGGAAACTCATAGGGCAGTCAGTTGGTCAATAAACATTTATTAAGCACCTACCATGTGCCAGGCACTGAAGACACAAATAAAGGCAAGAGATGATCCCTGCCCACAAGGAGCTCACAGTCTAATGTGGAAGACAACATATAGACAATAGAATAAGTTGGAGAAAATCAACAGAGGGAAGGCACATGAATTAAGAGGGGCAAGAAAAGGCTTCCTGTGGGAGGTGGAATTGGACCTGAAGGAAGCCAGAGAAGCCAGGAGAGAGATGAGGAGGGAGAGAATTCCAGGCATGGGGGCCAGCCAGAGAAAATGCCCAGAGTCTAGAGATAGAGTGTCATGGGTGAGGAACAACAAGGAGGAGAAGGGAAGAGAGTATATAATATGTGATATTATGATATGATATTTTATATTATATAACATATTATATCCTAGAGGTGATAGGAAGTTATGGGAGTTTATTGATTAAAAGGAGAGGGGGATGAGACTACCACCATAGAAACTGAGGAATGGATAAAATAACCTCTCCAACTTTATGCTTTAATTTATCAGACACTGCCAGCCACATCTCCACCAAGTCCTACTCCAACATCTCATCATATTGTGGAGGTGACCCACCCTGTGCCTCTGTCAGAGGAACACAAGACTCTAGAAGCTTCTACCAGGCTAGAATGGAATCAAGCTTAGTCCTTGCAGCTGGCAACTGTGTCTGCTTTCTAAGAATCAACTTAAGTAAGGATAGGCTCTTTGCCACCAGATTGATCACTCAGAGATGAAATATTTGGCATGGCAACCCGTGAAACAATACAAAATAACCTTCTGTCCTGTGTACCTCCTTTCAAATTTTGCAGAGTGAAGGAAGAGGATAAAGATGCTAAGAATCACAGGTTTCAGGCAGCTTACAAACATTTACTTAGCTGTTGGTACTCTACATGTGAGATCTTTGGACTCTGACCAGTTAAGTGGAAATACTACTGAAGGAACTAAATTTCTAGACAAAATGGACAAGGTAGGCAGGACACAGGGAGGAACAGGTTATTGGTATTGGGATAGTATAGGCCCAAAGCACATAGCAATATCAGATTTAGAACTGAGTCATCCTGAAACCCAGCATTTTCCTGATATCATTAAACCACCATCTCCCTAATCTTCTGTTCTAACACTGTCCTCCTCCTGCCCAGTGCTAAATTTTCCACCCAAGCAGAACGGTGTCTAAATATTGATTTAGGACTGGGTAAATACTTTCCTTTTCCATGACAGCAAATACGCACTGTTTAACTTACAACTCCCTTGATTGGGACAAGCATTTTACAAGGCAAAATGAGTTATAGATTAATTCTGCAATATGTAAGCACCTGTTAGGCAGCACAGGGCACGCCAATGCCTGTCATATAAAGTCAGCGCCTTCAGGGTGAAGCTCAAACTCATTAGCTGTATTGTTGAACAAATGTCAACTCAACTGCTTAGGTTTTTAAAGGTTCAAAAGATATGAAAAATAAGTTCTCATTAGCGCTTCCCAAGGCATTTCCTGTTTATGTGAGTTCTAAACAGCTATATTGGAAATGGAAATTAATTGAGACTTAGAGGGTTTCTAATCATTTGTTTTTGGGAATTAATATCTGAAGGACTATCAAGGGAAATGGAGAAGAAGAATAGAATGATGGGATGAATGTCGGATTTGGAAGAGAGGACCTGCGATTAAATCTGAGACCATAATTTACTTCCAGGATGACTCTGGACAAGCCATTACTCTTTGGGCCCCAGTTTCCTCTTCAATCAAGTGAAATGCACTCACTAATCTCTAAGGACTCTTCCAGCTCTAAATCTGTGATCCCACGTAAAACTGTCCTATCAACTTTAAGATTACTCAGTCCAAGGTCAGGTCCCTGTTCCTGAGTTTTTCCCCTTGGAATCCCAGGCTGTCACAATAAGACACAGGGCAATGAGGCACTGCAATGGGGGATGTGAAGAGGACTCAGATCCACCCCACCCTAGAAGAGCTTAACAACAAGAGAAAAATGCAAGAGGGAAGAAATGTCATGTGACAATGAAGCTGCCACCAGAGCAGAGGCCTCGAATTCCAGGCTCCAAATTCCAAGGACACAGACCACTGCTGCAGCTGTAACAAGGGAGGTATCACCAACTGACTCTGGGCCAAAGAATGAAGCAAAAGCATGACGCTTCACTGAAGAAGATTGGGAACAGGGCAGGGTATGGGGAGGAACTTCCCCAGCCAACCATTTGGTCCCTTCCTATTTTGATTAATTAATCTTGCTAAGTCAGTACTTTGCTCTTTTCCTTGGTACAGTGTGGCAAGGTTACAAATGTTGTTTGCATTCTCTAAATTCAGCACTCTGAGACACAGCCCTGGTTAAGGCGCTGACTCATAAGCAATAGAGAATTGCAGGGTCAGATGGGACCACAAAGGTCACCTAAGTCAATCTCTGCCCAAAGTGTGAGTCCTTCCTATGGTCCATTTTACAAGTAATCATCCAGCTTCCATTCAATTTAACAATAGATATATTAAGCATTTACTCTCTCCAAGGCACCAAGGTTACAAAGAGCTCATACAAAACCCTCAAAGAGCTTATGATCTAATGGGATAGATAGGCCATGTCGATCAGTCAGTATACAAACAAACATAATAAAAAATAAAATGTGATTGGGCAGGGGAGAGGGGGGCTGTAGTGAGGTGGTTAAAAAAAAAGTTCCCAACCGAGTGCTCTGGTACAAGAGAGAACCTATGGTCTCCCTTCTTCCCAACCAGTAATCCTTCTAGAAAATCACAAGCCACTCCATAGGTTATTGGAGGTTTGTATAACTTGCAAACTGGGTATGTGCCCAGTGGTTCCCTAGAGGAGCCCTGCCCTAAAGATAAGATAGATAAGTAAGTGTACACAGTGAACATAGAAGTTGTTTCTGCTTTATAAATGAAATACTTTGACAGGTGAATTAATTTTTTTCAGACCATTAGGGCCCTCTTCAGTAAATGACTGTCTTACGATACGAAAGAGCACCTGAGAGGCCTGGAAGAGGCCATTACTGGTCCCATCCCACTTCAGGAGGCTTCATTTATTAAAAAGGGACAATTTATAACTTGAGAGCATCCAGTGCAGCATTATTTACTAGTGGTAGCAGCAGCTTCTGCCACAAGGAAAAAAAACCCAGCTCAGCCTCTGGTCCCTTTATGATGCCTAAAGGAAGTGGATAAAAATTGATGGTCAGACAAAATTCTCTCTCCTGGGGCTGTAACTGTACAGCAAGTAGTTACAAAAGAAAGTATCAACAGTCTTGCTTTTGGCTGGATTTTTCTTATGTCATGGGAACATAAGGATAGATAGGAAGTTGATTTGCTGTTTTCTCTAAGTAAAGCAGAAAGGACAAAAGCAGCTGGTCCCAGTTATTCAGTGAATTATTTCATTCAACCCCAAGTATCCCTAAAATTCAGAGGTTTTTAACCTGGAGTCTGTGAACTTATTTAAAAATATTTTGATAACATTTTAATATAATTGGTTTCCTTTGTAATCCTATGTATTTTATTTTATTTAGGCTTGCCCAGACTGCCAGAGTCCATGACACAAAAAAGAGAAGTCCTAAATTAGATGATCACGATGCCACTGCTTCCCCATCCTTTCCCTTCCAACTTGGCTTCCTTGTTTTCTTTGATTAACCTAGTTTTTTAATAGGAGAGCTGATATTAATTTGCTCTTTATCAGTACTTAATAAATACTCTTGAGCCATGTTAGGAAAGCACTTTATAATGTGTTTTTAAAACCCTATGGTATTCCATTTAAATTTGGGGGAGCGAGAGACAGAGAGACAGAAGGGACAAATTCCTTCAAGGTGGCTGAATGTACCCAAAGTCAAGCAACGAAACCTAAAGCCCCAGGTCTGATGCAGACCAGTTACATTTAGTTACAAGGCAAAAAACAAGGAGCAGGACAAGGGAAATTAGGAGTTACTAAGTTTCAGGTGTTGTTTCTGGTTGGAAGAAGACTGCAAGTATTCTTGCGGGGGAAAGAGCACAGTCTACAGCATCAGAGAAGCAGAGACTTTTTTCTTGCTCCACTATTTGCTACATGTGTGACTTTAGGCAAATCCCCTAACCTCTATTGGTCTCAGTTTCCATATTTATGCAATGAGGGAGTTGAAGGAGGGTGGGAGAGAGAGAACATAAATGAAATTGAATTTTTAAAAATAAAATAAACAAGTGGAACTAGGCCCTTTCCCTTCTAAATCCTATGAACATTTAATAAATATACATATTGACCTTTGTTCCCAGTTAATCACATCTAAGGAAGGCTGGTCTTTCAGAAATTAGGCTACGTACTACTATCCAGCTGATTTAGATCAAGTTTAGATAGAGTATATAGATAGATAAAGAGTTACAGATAGAAGTATACTCTATGTCTATATATACACACTCCAAACTCGATATATGTGTGTATGAATGTGAGTGTACGTGTATGTGGTCATATAGATAAATATGTATAGCCACATATAAAGATAGATAGATAGATAGATAGATAGATAGATAGATAGATAGATAGATAGATAGATAGATAGATATGGTATCATCAAGAGAGGCACTCTCCCATAGAGCTAAGCATGTACACTTAAGCACTGTTTGGGAAAGATATTTGTTATGGTTACTAAATGACATGAATGACCAGAGGTTTCTGGTTGACTCTTGCCTGTCTCTGTAGGGCAGAAGTGGGGGATATGGAATGTGCTAAATAAGTTTAGTGTCTGAGATATGATGAGCCTCCCACTTAATGGACTATAAGGAGTAAGAAAAGATAGCTTCTAATCTCTTTCTAGGCTCTCTTGTGAATTTTGTGCAAGTGGGAAGGCTGAAAAGATCCATCTTTCAACATTATTATCACCAACTGAGTGAAGCAAAGCTATATGCTTGCTCCCATGCTTTTTAGCATGTTTTTTTTTTCAGCAATGTTATCAGATGCCTTCAATGGGGATGAAAATGGTATGAAGGTCAGCTATCACACTGGTGGTAAATTATTTAACTTGTAAAGGCTGAAAGCCAAGACTAAAGTGGAGGAAGAGTTGGTGCGTGATTTTTTTTGTTGGAAGATGATAGTGCACCCAATACAGCCTCTGAAGTTGAGATGCAACAAAATACAGATCAGTTCTCTGCTGCTTGTGCTGATTTTTTGGCCTAATAGTTAACACCAAGAAAACACAGGTTTTCCACCAGCCAGCCCCACACCATCCATATGTGGAAATATTGGTTACAGCAAATGGAGACATTTTGAATACTGTGGATATGGTCACTTGCCTTGACAGCATACTTTCCAGGGACGTACACATAATGATGATGTTGATGCACACATTGCCAGAGCTAGCTCAGTGTTTGGGAGGCTCCAAAGGAAAGTGTGGGAGTGAAGAGGGATTAGGCTGTCTACCAAACTGAAGGTCTACAGAGCTGTTGGTGCTGACCTCATTGTTGTATGCCTTTAAAACCTGAACAGTGTATGAGTACCATGCCAGGAAATGGAATCACTTCCATTTGAACTGTCTCAAAAAGATTCTGAAGGATGCTGAGGTCCTTTCTTGAGCTAAACTGCAGAGTGCAACTCCAATGGGCTAGCTATGTTATTTGAATGCCAAATGTACATATGCCTAAAAGACTATTCTATAGAGAAGGCAGGCACTCACATGGTGGTCAGAAGAAGTGATACAAAGACACTTTCAAGGTCTCCCTGGAGAACTTTGGAATTGATTTGTGATATCGGAGATGCTGGCAAAGGACTGCCCAGCATCTGGTGCCTGCAT